AACCATGAACAATGCAATGGGTCAGGAAAGGCCACATCAGCATGAGAAGGTGGGACCCAATCCTTCAAGCAGTGGGACACATTTCCACGGGAAGTCCACGAGTAAAAAGAAATGGTGTTGGTGTGGTTACAGGGGACTGGATGGTAGGAAATCAGGGACGTAGACCTGGGACAGGGAGGAGGTTCAGGAGGAGGTGTGGTGCAGGAGGACTAGGGCAAAGGCAGTGGAGAAGGAGTTGGGGGCTGAGCACACTAAGGCCCACCCTCAGTCTCTGGGGTCAGCAGCACCTGATGGAGACCTTCTCTGAGCCCCAGCCCTGTGAGTCCCTGAGGCTCCCATAGCCTGTTTCCCAGTTGCCTTCCCAAGAACATGGAGCCACTTCTCTCTCCCAGCACCATCTTCCATCAGAATCATTCATCCTGTTCTATGGAATAGCAAGAGCCTCACACTCGGCTCTTGGCAGGGAAACCGGCTTCTCTCCAGAGTGTCCTAATCCTGGTTCCCTTTGCCTGAGAGAAAGAACATGCACATCCACAAGGGGTGAATGTCTCCCTTTACAGTTCAATATCAGCTTCCGGCAAGCTGTGCGTTCTCTCAGGAGTGAAGCAGTTGAGACTTCAGCCTCTTTCTCCAAATGGATTGGAAATGGGGGTGGGGCAGGTCACGAAAGGGATGCCGCCCCTGGGGGCCATCTCACCTCTGCATGCACACACGCCTGCGCAGGCACACACACATCTCACCCACAAACCTTACATGGGGGAAGAGAGGGAGATTGGGGGCAGAGGAGGAGGAGGGCAGTGTTGCTGCCTGAGGCACGAAAAGAGAAAAAAACCCAACCTACCCACCTGGCCATTTTTTCTTATCACCAAAGATTGGAATGTGCCACCTCTTGAGATAGAGCTCTCCTACATAGGTGTTTTGTTTGGACCACACAGTGTTTTTTAAAATTTTTGAATTTGTGGCCAACATTTAAAAATCAAGAGATTTCACATTTTTAAAAAATGATTCTTGGCATGCAAATTGCTTGCTCAACAGCACGGGGCTGGCCTTCATAAGGCTACAATCAGCAAAGCTCTGTAGTAGCCACTGAGTCCTACTCCCAACAGCAGTCTTCACCATGGTCCCCACCCAGTCCCTCCTCCCTCCTGTCCTCAAAGCACAAGAGTTTGCAAGCCCAGGTTTAAAGGAAGGTCAGAGTGGGTGATTAATGAACTCCAAGAGAGGAGCAAACTGGTTGTTTATCTGGTATAAAAATGAAATGAGAAAGAAAGAATAAAAGTTAGATTGAGGGGAGGTGAGATAGTTTCCCTGACAACGATGATGAAGGTATTGAAGGTCACTTTCTTGTGGACAACTTTTGCTCTCCTGTCATAAGAGGGTAAGTTCACCGTAGCAAGTTGCCATTCCCTATAAACTGGCTACTGCTGCCCGGTTGGCCCAACTCTTAGGAGGACACTCTTCAGGACCTCTGTGAGTTGTGTCTGGAATCTGTCCTGCTTCATCTACAACTCACTTTTAACAGTGAATTCACAGACCAAGGAAATTTGTAGGAAAGGGGTTTGTTTTCTCCCCACAAAAGAAACAAAAATCGCAGCATAGCTAGGGTTAGCATTCATCCAGATTTGCCTCTGCTTGCTTTGATAAAGGAGCGCAGGCCCCCCCCCCTACTCCATTATCACCAAGACAACCAGTGTTCCGAATTGCTTGTTTTAATGGACGGTCAGACATCCAAAGTTTGTGGTTCCGTTGGAAAGTGGTTTTCTGTGTTCCTTGTGTTCATCCTTCAAGTTCAGAGCCATCACCACCTGAGAGCACTTAGCAAGCTCAGGATAACCGAAAGAGAGCATAAATCCTGCTGGCTTTGAACACAACCCAGGGCTCACAGTATGTTCCTGAACTGGCCAATGGTAATCAGCTCTTCCTCTCTCCTTCCCTCTTGTATGCTTGTAAATCAAGAGGCCCCAGTATTAGTCACCACAAAAGAGATAATTAGTAAGTACAAAGCTGCTCCCTCCATCCATCACTCTTAGATTCCAGCTTAGCCAAGAGGTTGGAGCAAGCTAACATTGCACAAGGATGAGTTACTTAAACAAGATTATTTTTTGTTTTCAAACAAAGCTTATGAGTCTGTTTCACTCTAAATTCTGCATCCTCCCCAGTCGTAAGAACAGCTGTGACCCGGGGCCAAAGGGAAGGTCCTTACTCATTGCATGAAGTTTGCCTTTCCTGGAACCCCAGGAATTTGAAATAGCAGTGCTGCTTTAATGGCATAGTCTTGGGGATTCCGAACTTTTAGGAATGCTTCACCCATCTTCAGTGATCAGGAAACAGAATAAGATGCCACTTTCTTTTACTGGGATATGCCATGTCCTCCCCCAAGAAAAGCTTGCTTGTGCCTTTGCCAACCTTTTGTGCAATTGGAAAATTAATTTCCTGCTCTGGCAGGGCATATGGTCAAGGGCAACTGTTGCCCCCAAAAAATAAAGGCTGTTTCCAGACCCACTAAGCAGTCTAGGAACTTCCTTCCTGTGCCTTGCTGACCAAATATTGCTGGCCTGCATAGAAGTGTTCCACTCATGTATTTATGACTTGGGAGCTGCTCAAATGCACACTGGCTTCTATTTTTTCCATCACACAATGTTTCTTCCAGTTTTTGAATTTCCCATATCAACCACTTTGCTATTTTTAAGCAGAATATTTTCAAGCCAAAGTAGCTGGTCGGTATGATAAAATCTCACTGACTCTAGCAGGAGCTTGAACTCTTCCAAGGTGGGCGGTATAAGCAGTATGAACTGGGCCTTGTCCCAGCCTTTCTCTTCTTCTAGAAGATGAGGGTACACGGTTGTATAATCCTAGTTCCTTTCTATTAAGATTTAAAATCATGTTTCATCAAAGCTAAGATGCTGCTAATTCTAAGAAACATCATACTGAAAGTGCTTGAAAGAAAAATAAATTTTAGAAGTTCCACTGGTTAAAAGATCTTGAAACATCTTTAAAGATGTTTGTTCCCATGGTGACTGGATTGTTCACAGCAGACTCTTGTGTTTTGAAATCCTTTGAGGCAGAATTGGCAACTTCTCCTTCCCTGTGTTGTGTTGCTTGATATGACATAGTTGATCCTTTTTGAAGATCTAAGTAACAAAATGTAACATCACCTTTCATCTCCTTGGAGGTGTCTTTCTAAGCAAATAAAGCATTTACTTATTCCTTTGCAAGAAAATGTGGGATTTCAGAGCTACTAAGGATGAATATTTGCTTCATCAATATCCAACGTATACCCCTCTGCTCTGTTTCTGAGACTTTCTATATGTACGGTAGCTTTTCATTTCAGTGCTGATTCATAATGTAAGCTTTTCTAAGACACTTAAGTGGCAGTTAAACTCAGGGTTGTAGTGCCAAGAGTGAGGCCAACACAGCAGAAATGACAAGAGAGACACCTGTGATTGTGTCTTTCTGGCCACTCTCAGGCAATAACATCCATGTCGTGACTGCTCCTTGGCAACAAACACGTACCCGCATTAATCACACTTGTTACAATATGAAAAAAAATGAGCATTTAAAAATAGCTAAATAATGGAAAGGTCTACAATTCTACAACTGTGTATCTAGCAAGGTAAACTCTTAATAAGACAGTATCAACAAAACTTTATGCCAAGAAGTAAGTGTAGATTTTTTAACCAGGTTAACAAAAAATTGCCCCACATCCCTCAGTTCAGTAAATTTAAGGGCAAGGATTCTGATCCAGACAATAGGGCCTTCTATCCTGCCAGTTCTATGGTTATAAGGGTAGTAGACATCATGCATGCAGATTGACTGTAGACCAACATTGGATTCTGTTCCTTTTCAAGATTTTTCTTCCAATGAAGCATCATTTCCCACAGGATCACAAAGGTCTTTTTTAAATAGCTCAATCAAATAGAGTTTTTTATAATTAATTGATCAGAATAACTTCTAATTAGCATGTCTAATACATGCCAATGGCCACTTCTTAAAGGAACTCATGGGAATGATTTCTGTTTTTACAACTATGGGAGCTGCCTACCCTCACCACAGTGCAATGAGATAGTTAAATCATCATCATTTCCCAACCAGAACCTTGCCTGTGAGTTGAAATGACTCGCCCAGTGACAACAGAAATGCAATCATGGCAAAATAGGGGCCTAGATCAGCTCAAACCTTGGACTCCCAAGCCTTAGGTATCATCCTCTCTTTCTAATTCTCCCTATTACATCAATGACTGGTCTTACACAGTTAGTTTGTTTGATTTTTTACTTAAATGGATGGTGAAACAAATAGGTTTACATAAATGGATGGATAGAAACAAATATGTTTTTGTTAAAAAAAATAAAATAAAATAAAAGCTATTTTATTCTCCTAATGTTAGAAAATGTGATCATGAATGACATTTTCCAGTATATAACATCCCTGGTCCTGGCCTCTCTGAGCAATAAGGGAGGTCCTTGGAGACCAGCCCAGAGGCAGAAATGGAAGCCACCAAGCCTGCCCCTGGAGAATAGTGATACTGAGGAAACTCCTGTGGCTTTGTGGCAATGGTGCTTTGGTTTCCATGGACAGTTAAATATGGATTCTGGGAGGAGCTTTGTATTTAATGTTCAATACTGTGGGAGCAAAACCCAAAAGAAAGGAGTGAGAGTATGACTAAGAGCTTTCATGGTCAAAATAGATACCAGCAAGAAGAAATTACCAAAGTCCAAACAGGTAAAGATCACCATCCTCCAACCCTAGTCACGTAGACACCAGAATGTTCATAGGTTTGTAGTCCAGCAACTGGGGTAGAGGCTGCATTAGGAGAATACAATAAGAACCCTTTAATTGTTTTCTCAGGTTGTTAATCCATTTGGTGGCAATGTTGGTATATTGAGTACCTACGTGTGAAAAGGGAAGGGGGCATAGGGCCGGCCTATGTGTTTGAAGAGGCCTGAATGAATAATGGCTGCAGGGGGGACCCTTTTCTGACCTCCCCACTGGTCCTGTCTCAGCTGTAAAGGTGCCTCCCACTATGGCCTGACCAAAGACAGGAAGAGGCGCTCGCAAGATGGCTGCCCAGATGGCTGCGCCAGCCTCACAGCGACGGCGCTCTCCCCAGAGGTCTCTGCGGCTGCCACCATCTCCTTAATGATGGACGAGCCTGGCCTAGACAACCCTGCCTACGTGTCAACGGCCGAGGATGGTCAGCCAGCCAACAGTCCCTTGGACTCTGGCCGGAGCAACCGAACTAGGGGTGAGTCAAATGGGTGGGTGTTGGGGAATGGGCTCTTGGCCTTTCTTGGGATTGCCCTCTATGGAATACTCACTGTGGAAAATTCTGGAATTGTTTTTGTAAGGGAAATGGTTCTGGTAGTTTTGGCAGCCACCCTGAGTCCAATTCTCCAAAGTGAAATGAAACCAGGAGTACCTCAGGTCATTAGAACTGTGTACTCTGACGTGGTGAAAGGGGGTGAAGGGAGACCAGATGATTTATCACTCCCCCAGTGCCAGGGCCTTCCCTGCCTGCTCCAGAAAAGTGCTGTTACATTCACTTTCTCCCAAGGGGGAAAGCTGATTTTAAAACAAGCCACATGTATTTCACTGTAGGAAATTTAGAAAGCAGAGGTAAGCAGATTCTACCTAGAGGAAATCCTACTACCTAGAGGTCACTCCTGTTCAGGTTTTCATGTATTTTATCAGATGTGTCCATGAAAGATGATTTCTATTAACTACTGGTTCTATCACCTCGCTTTTCCTCAGCACGGCCCTTTGAGCGATCCACTATCCGAAGTAGATCTTTTAAAAAAATTAACCGAGCTTTGAGTGTTCTTCGGAGGACAAAGAGTGGGAGTGCAGTTGCCAATCAAACTGACCAGGGCAGGGAACATCCTGAAAATCCCACTGCCCCTGAAGGTAAGTGAAGCCCCCCAGGAGGGTGGACCTGGGCTAGGCTCCCAGGGTAAATCAGGGTGAGGACAACTTGGCCACCACCCACCTTCTCTTCCCAAGGTTATAAAATACTTTTTGCCTTGATCAATATCCTTCTCTTGCAAGTAACTGAAGTCAGAAATGAATGCTGTCCTTTTTTACAAATGAGGGGAAAGTGTCAGATCCCTTGCCTTTAGAAGCTGGTTGAGGGCTGGGGCTGTCGCTCAGTGGTAGAGCACTTGCCTAGCACGGGTGAGGCACTGGGTTCGATTCTCAGCATCACATAAAAACAAATGAATAAAATAAAGGTGAAATTCTTAAAAAAGCAAACAAAAAGGAGCTAGCTTAATGCATACGAAGAATGATAATCATAGCTAATAAATGGAAAGCATTTAAAATAGTGCTGGCACAAAATAAATGACGTATTAATTTGTTCTCATTAAACTCTGTACAAGGTGTGGTTCTGAGTGTTTTGTGTGCGTCTCCTCAGTCCTCCACACAATGAAGAAGTCACTATTATTATCCCTGTTTTACAGGTGAAGGCAACTGAGGCACAGAGATGTTACGTAGCTTGTTCCAGCTTATCTTGCTGAACTTTGAATACAGCTCTAGAATCCATGCTAAGAAAGTCATTAGGTGGATAGTAGATCCTATGTGGTTTCAGCAGTTTAAAGGGAGCTGAAGAAATACCGTCTTACCCATTTCTTCTCATTTCATTTTAGAAGTTTTGAGTAGTAATAATAATAGCTTTTTAAATAAAAGATGAGTTCTTTCTGTGTTCCAGGTAGAGTTCTGAGCCATCAACAATGCTAAGGAATGAGGGTTACCATTCCCATTTTATAGATGAGGAAACTGAGTCACAGAGAGATTAGGCAACTAAGCCAGAGTCACCCAGGTGAAAAAAAGAAATGGTAGAACTACGATTTTAGCTCAGATTCTCTGGCTCCAGAAACTACTCCGATAACCACCAAGTTATTCTGCCCTTCATTCTTGGAGGTTGAAAGGTGGAGCCTAAATCACCATATTCATTATGCCCTCAGAAGGTTCTCGAGGAGGCACATTAAGCCCCTTCTTTCTTACTTACTTATGACTGCCTCTTACCCTGTGTGTGTTCTCTCCCTGTGTCTCTGTTTCTGTTTCTGTGTGTGTGTGTGTGTGTGTGTGCGTGTGTGTATTTGTGCGCGTGCGCTCTAACTACTGTGAGCCTCTTACGGTCTTGTACGTACTTTACCTCTTTTCCTCACCCTACTGCTATTATTATGAAACCTCAAAATACCCATTCAAATTGCTTAGCTCAGTGCCACCGTACAATGAACTCACTGTAAACAATAATAATTGTCAAATACTTTGGTCCTCTGGGGAGCGTGCAATTTTGAATAAATTCTTTTCTTTCCAGACTAATGCAAGTTTGACAGTTCAGAAATGACTTTAATGCTTTGGAGTCACTAGGGTCTCGCTGGTGTGGCTCTAATTAACGTCATTTACGAGTGTGACTGGGTCTGTCCTTTCAGACTATGAAAGCAGATGTCCTTGAGCGGTTTAGGTTTGGGAGTATGGTTTTTGTAACTCTGTTGGGAATGAGGTAGCAAGGGAGGGGACAGAGGGAGGGAGGATCCGCAGCTTTGATGATTATTTCCAAATCTTTCTTTACTCAAAATACTTTTTAAGAACTCGCCTTTCCCTTGTTCCTAGACATGTCCTGACAGTTGCTGTGGTGTAGCCCACCTAATGGAATCAGAGTAGCTGAAACACTGATTGAACTCAAACACCCAAGAACTGTTAGCACCAGAACCGACAGATTAAGACAGCTACTGGCTGCTTTATAGCAAAGCCAGTCATTTCCATTAAATTAAATCTGAGCAGAGTTTAAGGGCACACATTTACAATGTCTCAGGCTTGCTCTGGCCACTAAATTACCTTGTTAACCATGCTCTGTAACACTTAGAAATAACTGTGATTTTTTTTAATGTATGGTTCCTGGAGAGTTGGGTTTATTAGGAAAAATGGACTGAAATCGTAGATTTTGAAAATAGTCACAAAAAATGGATTATCTAGAATCAGGCCTGCAGTGTTCCAGTTTCCAGATGACAACATTAAAGGAGATTCTCAGGGTAAAGACAGCTGTGAGCAGCTGCAGGAGGCAGAAGCTCGTCCCTCTGCACCCTAACTTCAGTCTCAGGCTACTCAGGGGAGCCACTCTTCCCGCCTGACCTGGTGGCTGGGTCCCATCACTTAACGGTTTCTCCTCCATACACTTCAATTCAAGCTGAAATGGAAAAGTGTGCCCCTGCTGGGTTATGGTTCCTTAGGACAAGTCCCTGTGGCTTCTTACCTGGCTGTGAATACCTGGTTCCAGGAAGCCTGATGGAGGCAGTCAGCAGTCAGCAGGGGCACCAGGTTCAGACCTGGCCCTGAGGGTCACCTGACTCTGCAGCCCCCAGCTAGTTGGTTCATTTCCCCTTTCTGCTGGAACAAGCTAAGGAGCAGAAAAGGCCCTACAGCCACCATCTTAGATGCTTCTCTTTACCTGGTCATAGCAGGATGGGAAGGGGGAGGAAAGAGGGAACTATGAAAGGTTTCATGGGGAAATCAGATTCTTCAGCTAAAAAAAAAAAAAAAAAATTGAGTTTGGAAACACCAGCCTACATAATCATTAAATCTCCTTAGCTCTGAATCCAGTGATTGAGGCAGATCAGGGACGAACCTCCAGAAGCTAAGCCTTGGACTCTTCTTACTTATGAAACAGCTCTTGTGACTTTAACTATTGAAAGTCGCATCTGAAAGAGAGGGCTGATGATTTCCCCCAACCCTAAAAAGCAGGGTCTTGAGAGGAAAGAATCCTTAAAATGATCAAAGAAGGCAGAAGAGCAGGTTTGTTTTATTTTTGTCCTTAAATCAGCAGGTGCTGACGCTGCAGTCCATTCCGTAAAAGATGTTCCTTCATTCGATCATCCATTCCTGTTCACCCAGTAAATATCAGCAGAAGACTCTTGCATGTAGAGATCTGTACACAGAACCATGGAGAAGCCAGAAATCAGGCCCTCAAGGATTTTACTATCAAGTGGGCAATATAAGAAAGGGGCATGAATATCCGTAATAGAAGGTTGAATGCCATAAGAAATAGAGAGAAAGGCTTATAGGAAATGGCATGTTTAGAGAGAGCAAGGGAAAAAGGGATCAGGGTAGAGTGTAATTGGAAGGGATCATTTCATGCAGCCTTGTAGGAAAAGTTGGTTTTAGGCCCAGGATGAAAAGAATTCCAGCAGAGCAACTCACCCTGGCACCAAGGGAGCATAAGTAGAAAACACACTCGAGAAACAATGAACAGTTTAATTTGGCAAGAAAAGCGGTTGGAAATGCCACTGGGTGGTTGTCTTAAATAAATACTATCTTTGCCCATTTCAGTCTTTCCAAGGCTGTATCACCTGATTCCAGATGGTGAAATTACCAGCATCAAAATCAATCGAGTGGATCCCAACGAAAGCCTCTCCATCAGGCTTGTGGGAGGCAGCGAAACCCCACTGGTCCATATCATTATCCAACACATTTATCGTGATGGAGTGATTGCTAGAGATGGCCGGCTGTTGCCAGGAGACATCATCCTCAAGGTAGAGACTGTAGCTGTGGTCTGTGACAAGGCCCTTCCTATAAAAACCCTTCAAAGCAGATGATGGATGGATGTGGATGGACGGTTGAATGGACGGATGGGTAGGTTGGTGGATGGATGGCCAGACAGATGGGTGGGTGGATGGATGGTTGGATGGATGGATGGACAGGTGGGTGGGTAGATGGGTGGATGGATGGTTGGTTGAATGGATGAGGAGAAAATAGCAAAATAAATGTGGACATTCATTTTCCATAGTTGTCATATGACTCTTCATATGAGATTTATCATAATTGAGAAAGTCTTTCATTCTCACTCTTTCCCCTTCCAGTTTATAAATATTTCTGTTTCTGTATTTCCTTCTCTCCTCTCTTTCTTCTCCCTGCTACTTTTTAATCTTCTTTCCCCTTCTCTACCTCTCTTTCCCCCCCCTCCTTCTCCTTCAGCATTTAAGTAACATAAAACTGGAACATATATTTTCTTAAATTATTTTTAGAGCAGATTAATGGAACATTTTGTGTTTTATCTAATCACATCCAGATATTTATTCTTCTAAAGTAAATTTCCTATGGTTTAATGGGTCTCCATGAAAATAAAAACAATCCCTCGGCTATTTTTACCAACTCAGAGACATTGCAGGGGAGACACATGGAGGAGTGAGTTGTCTTGGGCATGCTGTCCGCCAAGACTTGGGTGAGGAGAGGGACTTCAAGGAGGACTTTTCAGGAGACAGGATAAAGTAAGAGCTGTTTATCAGACAGAAGTGACGAGGGATCCCTCCCTGCTCATATATTTCCTGATACTCAGATAACTGCTGCATCCCTCCCCTTCTAGGTTGCTAAGGGACAAACTCTTGTCACACTGTGAGCTGTTTGTTTGGCAAACTAATTGGAAGAAGAGGAGAAATAATCTAAAGCAGTTATTGCAGCAATGCTGACATTCCCACTGGCCTCTGAGGTGGGAATCAACCTCAGGGGGCCGCCAGCCGTGCAATCTGCAGTGCTCTGCATGGCTTCCTCCCCAACCATGGAAACTCTGCTGCCTGGGAGGGTTGCACAAGAAAACATGTTGATTCTTGTGGTCTTCAGCTGGCACTTGCAGGCAAAAGGGCTGCCAGCACTCTTTGCAGGCAACCCTGACCTCTTGGCCTGGGTGTAATGGGGAAAGCAGGCCCTCTACTCTGCTCACCTGTGCTTGGACAAAGGTGTCCTGTGTTTGCATGGGGAGCCCCTGCTCTTCTCTGGAGCCATAGCAGAGAATGGGTGACTGTCTCTCAGGAAGGTTTTTCCGAAGCTCATTCCAGGGCGCCTCTAACAATTGGCTGCAAGTACAAGAAATCTTACCAAACTCGAGAAATTCAAGAAGGCTGTGGCTCCTTCATGGGCCCCCTCCTCAAGAACCGAGTGCAGGGCTCCTCTGAATTGTTTTCTTCCAGAGAGGTGCCTAATGCTGGGGGCTGCAGCCCCCAGGCAGGACCTGTGTAGCTGGCGTAATTAAAACCAGAAAGCCTGCTGCAGCAACAGCCCTGCATGCTGTTATGAGAAGCACAAATGGGAGGGCCAAGCTTAAGTAGGTGAGGTGAGCTAGCCTTTCAATAAGGGAGCCCAGAAACTTCCTTTCACTTTGGTGTGTTTGGAATTGTATAAGGACTTCTCCCCACCTTTTTGCTGGAGGGAAACACAGACAAGAAGAGCACCTTAATACCTACACACACACTATCACTTTCACTACCACACTCACATACCTGGAAACAGACTCATGCACACCACTTAGACACCTGTCCGTCACACACTTATACATACACCCTCATGCACATATGCCCAGTCTCTCACACACACATGCACTATCACTTGTAACAATAATCACGTATATGCACACGTGCACACGTCAGATTTATATATTCTCTCTCTCTCTCTCTCTCTCTCTCTCTCACACACACACAGAGAGAGAGAGAGAGAGAGAGAGAGAGAGAGAGAAATGGGAAAAAGAAGTTCCAGTATGGGTGACCCAGGGAGAATAATCCAATTGAAGAATTTTGAAAAGAAAATGTCAACTCAGCTTGGTTTGAACGGCCATTAATGTTATCGTTTGGGGTTGGCATAGAGTTCAATGGCAGAGCATGTGCTTAGCATGCATGAAAAAAATCACAAAAAAGAATAAGAGTTTAGTTATGTAATCATTTGACAGAGCTGGATGGGAAGATTTTTTTTCTTTTGTCTTTTCCTACTTTTTCTTTCTTCCCTCCCCTCCTACCAGCTAAAAAATAAGTTTGGCAGGCAACAGAAATGAAGGTTGGAACTCTGTAAATAAATGGGCAGCCTATGTGAAGACAAGTTTGCAGATAAAGGGTGCCCATTCACAGAGGCCTGAAAGGTACCACGGGAAAACCGGGATGTTTGTACAGAATAAGGGGAGAGCCTGGGAAGTCTCTAAGGGAGCAGCACCCCTGGTCTTCCGAGGTCCTGGATCTTTAACTTCTTTACTGTTTCGGGATCTCACCCAGGGCCCTGCACAGGTGAGCCTGGGCCTCTGCGGACGGGTGATGGCAGGGGTGGTTGACTACAGATGCTCCATTCCCCCAGGTCAACGGAATGGACATCAGCAACGTCCCCCACAACTACGCTCTGCGCCTCCTGCGACAGCCCTGCCAGGTCCTGCGGCTCACCGTGCTGCGAGAGCAGAAGTTCCGAAGCAGGAGCAATGGACAGGTGTTGGACTCCTACGGACCTCGGGATGACAGTTTCCATGTGATTCTCAACAAAAGCACCCCCGAGGAGCAGCTGGGAATAAAACTGGTGCGCAAAGTGGACGAACCTGGGGTGTTCATCTTCAATGTGCTGGATGGGGGCGTGGCGGACCGACACGGCCAGCTGGAGGAGAACGACCGCGTGCTGGCCATCAATGGACATGACCTCCGATATGGCAGCCCAGAGAGTGCGGCTCATCTGATTCAGGTGGGTCACAGTCAGAATCCCCCAGCTTGAGCGGAGCACGTGCCTCCCTTCAGGCAGTCTAAGTGGAAGGGCCAGGGTTGCCAAAGCTTCCGCCCAGGTAAGAACCGTATGCAAGCAACTGATGTGCCTTGGGATCTAGTGCATTCCCTGTGCATTGTTCCAGATGCAACTGAACTCATGCGGCTGTGTGTTGCAACCTCACAAGGTTAAAGTCACTGAAGGTTAGCAGGGTCAAGTCATCTTTGTACCCAGTGTGTTAGATGCAGACCTAGGAGTCATTCCCATACATCTGGAAACCTCCAAGACAGCCTATTGTATTAACTCCCTCAAGAAAGAGTTAAGAATAGCCTGACAGTGCACTAATACATTTTTCTGATCCGTGTGATTTCATTTACATGAGTGTGCATCTTATTGACTGTGGTTGGATCACCATGGAATTTTCTTCCTTTTCTTTTTTGTAATTAAACTTTTTATTTTGAGATAACTCTGGATTAATAAAAAAACAATAATTCTGGGTTGTTGTAAAAGACAACACAGAGGAATCCCTTATCCACATTTCTCTTTTCAACAGTGTTAATATCTTGCAAAACCCTGGTACAGTATCACAACCAGGCTGTTGACACTGACATATCAAGATGCAGAATATTTCCATCCCCACAAAGATCCTTATGAAAGTGATCCTTTTATAGCCACATCTGCCTCCCTCCTACCCCGCCTCCTCCTCACCCTTGGCAACTGCTCATCTGTTCTCCATTTCTGTAATTTTGAATTTTAAATTTTTTATATATATCATACAATATATAAGCTTTTGTGATTAACTTTTCTCATTTGAATTTTCTGAAGATTCCTTCAGATAGTTGGGTATCTCAGTAATGTTGCCTGAGCTGACAGCTTTATTCTTAAAGGGACCGATATTCTTCTGAGCTCTTGTGTTCTAACCCATTCATTCCTTTCACTTATCAAACATGTATTAAGTTTCCACTGCTAACCTGGCCCTGGGTTAGGTGCAGAGAACAGGCAGGTGTTGCTCTCCCCAAGGAGCCCACTCTCTGACAGGGTGGACTTTGTCTTCACAACTGTCATATGGTGTGATAGTTCTGCAATGGAGAACTAAAGTCCAGCTGGTGCAGATGCAGGAGAGACCTTTGCTGAGATAGGCCTACCTAGGAACTCTTTGTGGCAGAAGAAAGTCTTGAACTGGAGCTTTCAGGAATGAGCAGAAGTTCTCTAGGTGGATAAGCAGCGAGAATCATTCTAATGAGATACAACACAGAAGAACATTTCCCTCTGTCCCATCAGGGTAATGGCTAATACCTGAAGCATAGTGGGTTCAAAGTAGCAGCAAATACACAAGGAAGAAGTGGGAGGCAAGGGCCAGGCCATGGAGAGTATTATGAGCCAGGCTAAGGCCAAGAATATCTCCAAAGCCATGGAATATCATTGGATGGCTCTAGGAAGGAAGGTGATGTGAATCTTCCAGAAAGATCTGTCCTCAGAGAGATAGACAGTCAGCAGAAATTGAACCCTGCAAGGCTCAGAGCTGCCCTCAAGCACTCATGCTTCCCTCTCCCCTTGGCACCTACTCATGGACTGCTTCCAGGGGACAGCAACTCTGATCACAGTTGTTTGTGTGCTTATCCCTCTTCTTCAAGGAGAATTGAACAGTACATTGTATATTTGCCAGTTGAAACCTGGGCAGCCAGGGGCAGAGGGTGCATAGGGACTTGCCCTATTCCCTCTGCTCATGAGGGCAGGAAGCACACCTGGTGCCTGGGCCCTGAGCAGTGGCTCTTGGTGGGAGTCCCAGTTCCAAGGTAATGCTCAGCCCCCTGGGTGTTCATTTGCCCAAGAAGGCCTGAGCTCATACCCTGTGAAGGAGGTAGAGGAAAAAAGCAGGGTTACCAGAGGCATATCCTCTCGGGGTTTACACCAGAATTCAAATTACCTGGCCCCAACATCTCTGACCATCACACTTACTTAGCTACATGTCTACTTGGTATCTAAAGTAAATGTCTAGCCAGGGGCAGTGGCATGCACCTGTAATCCCAGTGGCTCGGGAGGCTGATGCAGGAGGATTACTAGTTCAAAGTCAGTCTCAGCAAAAGCAAGGTGCTAAGCAACTCAATGAGACCCTGTCTCTAAATAAAATATAAAATAGGGCTGGGGATGTGGCTCAGTGGTTGAGTGCCCCTGAGTTCAATCTCCAGTACCCATAAATAAATAAATAAAGTTAATGTTTAAGGCATCTCAAAATTCATGTCCAAAACGGATCCCTTGACTTCTCCACACTCCACCCATGGTCAAACCTTCTCCCCTTTCTTCTTTCCAGTCTCCAGAAATGGTGCCATTTACCCAGATACTTGGCCAAAAGGAGTCTTCACATACTTGAGCATCCTTCTCTCCCAGTTCATTTCTCACCACCTCCGTGGCCCCCATCAGCCAGGCTGGCCCACTGCAAGAGCCTCTTAACCAGCCTCCTTGCTTCCACACTCAATTGCAGAATGACTTCTTTGCAAAGCCACTCTCCTGCTCTCAGCCTTCTGGGCCTTCTCAAGATAATTAGGTTAAAATTACAAAACCTTGGCATGGTGGGCAGACATAGACATACTCTGGCCTTTCGTTCTCTCTCCAGATTCATTTCTCAAGCAAAGGGGAGAATTTCTGGTATTCTCCACTTAGTTTAACCATTTTTAGCTACATTGCCTTCTTCCCACTCTGCACATATTTCAAGAAGTTTTCCACCTCTGAGCCCAAGTTCTTGCTGTCCCTCTGCCTAGAAGAATCTTCTGTAGAAGATTCATGTCTATCAGACTCCCCCCATACCTCATTTAAGTCTCTCCTTCTCAGAGAGCCTTCCCTGACAATCTCACTTAAAATAGAGTGCCCGTCACAGAGTCCGTCATCTCATCTATTTTTCTTTCCTACCAACTGTTTTATGATTACCTGCCAGTCTAGGGTGGCATAATATGGTGGAATATTATATCCCAAGCACTTAGCCCAGTGCCTGGCAAGAGCAGGCACTCTAATAAGCATTTACTTAAGGTTTGAAAATTTTGTTGAATTTGAAAAATGGAGTCAAATTATGAATCTGTAAATGTATGTAAGATATATTTTACACATTAATTCCACCTCACAGGGACTTGTTTTTAAACCATTTTGCCAGAGAACAAGAAGTGCATCTACTTTTACATGCTATTTGTCCCCAAGACATAATCTCTCCTTGGATTTGTTCACATTATTGTTTGAGAAGCTTCTGTGTACCCAGAGATGTGCAATATAGTGACAAACCAGACTGACCCAGTTCCTGGCCTTATAGCCCTTGGAACGGCCCTTGACTTTGATCTCAAGTAGAAGTCAGCATGAGATGTGTGGCTCTAGTCTGCATAAGCCAGTAGGTGAAAACACAAAATAGACCATGTAGAAATATTGGTGCATAAAAAAGAGTCTGTTTTATTTTCCCCATCAAGGAACTCCATTCTTAGCATTATTTTTTCTCTCCCAAAAGGAGAACTTTTAGGAGATCATCAATGTTTCTTTCACGTTACATTGTTAGCGCCCTCTGCAGGTCAATTGAGGGAACTCACATTTTGAACATGATCTGTTGCCAACTGTACTTCGCAATAGGCAAAGGAAAAGCTCTTACTCATGTTATTTGGAAAAATCTTGATTGCATGTGGCAATCTACTTTTGTAGATTAATAACAGAAGAGCAAAAAAATTCCCTGAGAAAGTTAATTTATGAAATAAAATCTTGCCTAACAGTGGGAATTCCTAAAAGATTCTTTTGCTTACTAAACAAAGCCAATGTGCTTTATAAGCAGGAAAAGCTTTTCTTAAAAAAAAAAAAAAAAAAAAAAACTAGGGCAAAGCTAGTTGGAAAAGAAATGAAGAAAAAACAGAATGCTAGAAAAACTCAGCCAAGCAATCTCTTGCTGTTTCTAAAGAATGGATTTTATTTATGTGTTACTTGTAACACACACCAGGCTGGGGGGATTAAACTAAATGCCCTTCAAAGGTTGAGACAAAGATTTCCACCCATTCCTTGGCTCTGCAGCCCTCGTATGTCTACTCCATGAATCACATTTGCCTTACAGAGAAATTCCCAGACAACATGTCCTCTTGACCATGTTCTCTCCCACAGTACCCCACATTCTGCTTTTTTCTGCATTACTTCAGGGAAGAGTTATTACAGAGAGACCACAACTGTTTTAAATCTGACCAGCTTTACATATGTTGAGCCCTGACCTCAGCTTATTCAACAGCAGCCTGGGTTAACCAGACCCTAGTGTTAGACAGATGGTCAGGCCCCACTGAGAAGAAAAACCTTAAAGAGACAGAACCATCCAACACAGAGCAGTTGACTTCGTGAGTGCAAGTTGATTTTTCACTGTTGTTAATTTCTCAAGTGTTTTGAACACTCTCATGGGACTAACTGTATATCAGAGACAGTGTTTTGGAAACTGTTTGATGTCATACCAAAATAATAGAACAAATAAATAATGGACTAAAGCATTGAGACACAAGGAAGAACAGAAGTCTCAACATCCCACACCTAGGAGGTCAGCATGCATCCACCCCGTTTGCATGAGTCTTTTATTCGGAGAGGTATGCCTATTTTGAGATGCTTTCATTTCTTGGGCAATTCTAGATTCATGTGTACATATTTATCTAGAAAGCAAATATAATTCATGTATATAATTAATAAAGAAAGAAGGTAACTGTGAATTTCAAACTTGAGCATCCCTCTTGTGGCTTTTGTCTTTTGACAACCCCAGACTTGATGTAGACACTGAAAAAAATTCTTAACCATTAGTAGAGGTGATAAAACGAGGGGTTTTCATGAATACTGACATGTGCTTTTGTTCTTCAGAAGAGTTAATATTTAAATGGAAAGTTATTTTATTAAAGAAAAACTGACAACCAGGCACTTCAGACTTTTAAAAAGAATACAACAGGGCTTTAGACAAAGCCAGAAGGCAAGTAATACCTTATCATATTACC